AAGTGATTTTATATTTTAATAAACTTAGGCTTATTCTTAGTGTTGTGTTTGTAGATGATGCCACTAAAAAAGAAAATAGACATAAAGAGCAATTTAAACAGTCAGACAGTAAGCAATATAGGATGATGATAAAAGGTTGTGTTACATTTAATCCTTTACTATGAAAAACACACATGTATAATAGAAACATTATATGATTGTAGGAAACAGATATAATGCTGCAGGGAAGCCTCAGGGTGAAGCAGCTGTCCTTCAGTGCTGCATGATGGAAGAAATGTGTTTGAAATGTTACCATAAAATTAGGGCTGCAACTAATGATTATTTTGAAAAGGTATTAATCTGTCGATTATTTTTCCGATGAATCGATTAATAATCAGATCAGCCAAAGGTTCCTTAAAGCAGATTTTTTTACGAAATGAAACTATGTTAAACAGAAACATTTCCTCTTGAGGGGTTCTGAATGGAGAATATTGACAGACAATTTTTTTTTAATATTAAATGCAAAATGTTGACATATTTTTTACAATCTTGGTATAATCGGCTAAAGGCACATTTTAGTGGCCCTTTAAGTGGCCCAGTTAATGATTAATCAATTACTAAATTAATTTGTGAATATTTAAATAATCAATTAATGTCATGAATTGTTTCAGCCCTAGATAAAATAAATGAAATGGGCTACACAGAGTAACTACACCCCAGATGTACAACTTGTATAGTGAGGTTAATATTTTAAATGCTCAGTGTCAGTTCCTCTTCTAGTTCACGTGCACGTGTGAATATAATACATTTATTTGCTGTCCCTTGAATGTATTATTTTGCATTATACAGAGAAAGCATATTAGTTATTAAAAACTAAGAGTGGGGTTTACCTGTGCACAATTCTATATCTTTAAAAGAAAACAGGATAAATCCACATATAATATATTTAGACTATATTTTGTTAAATAGGCATATAGTTACCAACTGTCTTAGTCGCTGGTAAGTTTAAATACAAACCTTTATAAAAGTGGAAAAAGTCCTAATTCCACATTGGTCAGAGGCAGTGATGCTTTAAACATTGATAAACAGCATCTTGTGTGTTTAGTGCTTATAAGATTTGTATATGTAGCAGAAATGCTGCTGTTCTCTTTAAATAAAAACTCGTTAAACTAACACATTTGATACTGTTGACCATGTCATTCTCTTAAACCGGCTCCACCTCACTCCTGGACTAAATGGCACTGCTCTCAGTTAGTTAAGATCATATCTCAACAACCGGACAGAATACATCTCCCTAGGCCAGCCCAAATCAAATCCACTCACAGTTACATATGGTGTCCCCCAGTGGTCAGTCCTAGCCCCCCTCCTCTTCATCCTTTACCTTACCCCCTTGGCCAAATCATCAGCTGCCACAATATCTCATTCCACTGCTACACCGATGACATAAAGCTCTATGTAAATGTCACAGATGAAACCCAAACCCTCACAGTCATCCCCATCAAAACTCACCACCTGTCTGAAGGAGATAAAGGTATGGATGGAGCAAAACTTTTTTCAACTCAATAGCTCCAAAACCAAAGCCATCCTGGTTGGAACTCCTCATCAAACCAAATCATCATCCATAACCAGCATCACTTTTTCTGGTACTAACATCCCGCTCTCATCAACAATTAGTAATCTTGGTGTAAGAATCGACTCACAACTCACTTTTGAAGCCCACATAAATCATTTATGCAAGACCTCTTTCTATCGCCTCCATAACATTTCCAAAACATCCCATTCTCTCCAGACTGGACTATTCTAACGTAGTTCTCATTGGGATCCCTAGAAAGAGTGCAGAGGTTTCAGTACATTCAAAACTCTACAGCTAGGATCCTAATGAGAGTACGGAAACATGAGCACTTTATACATTATACATTCACTACACTGGCTTCCCATCTCCACCAGGATTGAATACAAGGTTTCCCTCCTCACACATCATTGCATCCATGGACATGCCCCCACCACCCCACCCCCCCACCTTAAAGAACTTATCAACCCACACAACACAACCCGCTCCCTTCGCTCCACTCACTCAAACCGGCTCCACATTCCCAGAACCACACTCCCAGAACCAGACAGTGGGAGATAGAGCATTTTGTGCTGCTGCCCAACATCTTAAGGTGTCAGGCCCTCCCTGACACCTTAAGGCCACCTCAATCGACTGAGTGTTTGGTCACCTTTACATGTTTGTTTTTTTCTCTCTCTCTTTTTAAAACAGCTTTTATTATTATTATAATTTTTTTGTCATTATTATTATTATTTTCATTTCTATTTTTATGTATTTCTTTTTTAATGCTTTTCTTTTTTGTAGTACTTTGAGGTCTTTTTGATAAGAAGTGCAGTATAAATCAAATATATTATGAGTATGTTTGGCTCAACCTGCTGCTGTGAAGCAGGATTCTCCATCATGAACAGAATAAAAAATAAGTATCGATCCAGGCTCAAAATGAGCACCTTGATATATGCTAGAGAATGGCTTTGTCTCCATTCAAACCCAGGTTTAAAGCCTTGCAGGGCAGCCTAAAGCCCACTGCTCTCATTAAGACAGAAAAAAAAAAAAACGGTCAGTTTAGGTGTTTTGTAAAATATGTGAATCAGGAAATTGTCTATATACCAAACTGAACAATTGTTGTTCTCTACTTCAAAAAACAAAATGGAAAATGTTTCTATTTTTTAAAATGTTTTAATTTAAAAATTCAATGTATAACATGGATGCATAAACACCTAATTTTATTTCAGTGTTAAATTCTGTTTAAAGTAACAGATTAAAATTAAAAATGTCTCATAAAGATGATTTTTTTATTCACCCTGCTGATTTTTAATTGGTTACCCCTGGTTTAATGTTTATAAATATTTATTTCTCGTCATGTGTGCCATCCAATGCAGATCATTGGCTCCATCCACATCTAGTGAAAACTAGTGTAACTGGATGAGTTCTTCAAACTGCAAATGTGAATTGTCTATGCCATGCTATGATGTCGGATTCAGAAAAAGATGTTGAAATGTCTGAAAGGTTGGACACAGGCGAGAGTGTATCGAGAGATGGAGACCAACAAGACCTCCCTCATCCTTGGCCCTATCTCAAAGAATTTTTCGAAATAGTCAAAAAAATGGAGCGCCCACACGCAACATATAAGCAGGGCGACCAGCTATCCCAGGTGTGTAATTAACTTTAGCGACCGAGTTAAGAAGATGGGCCTCTTCCTCCAGATTCTGAAAAACTACATTGTCGACATCTGTGTCCATGTCTGCCGCTAATATAAACACAAGTTCTGTCAGAGTGTCAAAAAGAAAAATAATAAAGTCAAAACTTATAACGTTAGCATTGTTTTCAAAAAGAGTTGCTAAATGCCTCAGCTCACTGACCACTTTATCGTAGGTAGCCATCTTTGTTGTGACTGTAGCCAGTGGCTGCTAACCAACCAATGGGCAGAAGTTGACCCCCACACAAAATGGGGGACATATTTAGGCAGTACATGGTTGAAAATGGCCAACCAGTTGGCCATGGCAGTACATGGCCAAAACACAAAATCGGCGCCGATTTTGTGTTTTCGCATCCACCTCAAAAATATGTAGTTGCGCCCCTGGCTAGGGCCCCCCTGAGCCTCCTAAGACAATAACCTGTTTCTTTGCTTATTGCATGCATAATGCTATTTCTATCATTACTATAATAATTACACAATTTCATGATTAAATTGTGCATTTTTTTTAACATAAATATCGTTTTAATCAAATTGTAATCATGACCTGAAACATTAAAGAAAAAATATTGGTTTACAATATTTAAGAAGAAGATATTTGTTTGCATATTTAAGATAATTTTCTGTTTTTGTAAAATATTATTATTTTTTATTCATCAAAGCTATTTTATTGGTTTGTTGTTATTATTATTGCCCTTCAGGTTGTTTTTGCAGTTATAACCAGAGATGGGAAGTAACGAAGTACAAATACTTCGTTACTGTACTCAAGTAGATTTTTCTGATATTTTTACTTTACTTTACTACTTATTTTTATGGCGACTTTTTACTTCTACTCCTTACATTTTAAAAAATTGGCTCGTTACTTTAGTTTTGAATCATTTCAATGGAGTTACCGTTATTATTTTTCACGTCATCAATACCAAATTCAATCTAATTGGATGGGAATCTACATTGCATTTGACGCACCACTACAAGATGAATCGACAGATTCGGCGGTATTCATTCGCGGCAAATCATTGCAGCTTGGTGGCGGTGGCGTTAGCATAGTAGCATGGACGATGAGATGATTGAAAATGAACACAACGGAGATCTAGTCCTATTGGCAGACATCCATTTAAAATGTAGGCAACGGCATGAAAAAAGTGGTTTCTACTTTTACTTTTATACTTTAAGTAAATTTACAAGCCTGTACTTTGTTACTTTTACTTGAGTAAAGAAGTTTAATCAGTACTTCCACTTTTACCAGAGTATTTTTTAACACAAGTATCTGTACTTTTACTCAAGTACGGAAAATGAGTACTTTTGCCATCTCTGGTTATAACCTAAAAGCATAAATAAACCGCATACTTGTTTAGTTTATTACTTTTAGCATGTAAATAGGAGACTTTAAACAGAGCTGCAATCACTTTAAGTATGTGTGTGAATGATCTGATCACCGTGCCGTTGATTGCTCAGGGCCCCATGGAGGCCTTCATCTTAATTAGCCTACTTTTTGAGAAATATATCTCATGTTCCTGATGTTTTCTGCTCATTTTCTTCCACTATTTCTGAAATGAAATGGGAGAATAACACCAAGAATTATGTTACCCTGAAAATATGATTCAGTTCAATAATCAGTGGTTGCAAGCAGCTGGAGACAGTGGGCAGGAAACATTTTCTGGAACAGGAAGAAAGCCTCAGACAGAAGACATTCAGCAGGAACGAACTGAAAAGTCTGATAGGACTAAATAGATCTTTATGATTTAAGACGCCTGCAACTTTCTTTTTCTCCAATCGCAGACTGAAGCCCTTCATGCCACATGTGAGAGCCGTGGTTACAGCAAAGTCCCACGGGGCTTCTCTGCCGGGACTCAGCTGCTCAATCTCCGTGGAAACCACTTCCATTACATCCCGTCCAACAGCTTTCCAGGCACCAGCCAAGTTGTGTCTCTCGATCTAGAGTCCTGCAAAATTAGCAAAATCAAAGGCGGGGCCTTCCAGGGAATGAGAAACCTGCTTTATTTGTATCTCTCTCACAATGACATCACATTCTTGAATCCCAAAGCTTTTGCTGGAGTTCCAAAGCTCACCTATCTTCACTTGGATGGTAATCGACTAACACGATTCCCTGCAGCAGGTCAGGTTAAAAGTTTGGAGATTTGAACTGAATCCATGTAAGGAACTAGAGTAAAGTTGATGTTTTGTGTTGTTTTCTCTCTCCAGCTCTGTCACAATTACCCAATCTGTTTGTTTTACATCTGGAGGGAAATGCCATCTCAAAGCTGGAACCGCTTTCCTCCTCCGCTCCGACACTGATGGAACTGTACTTGAGCAACAACAACATCAGGGTAATTGATCGAGGTATCCTGAGCTCCACTCTCATTAAATCGCTTCACCTGGACTCCAACCAACTGAGCCCGGTTCCTACTGATGCTCTGGCTGAAGCCCTACATCTGGAGGACCTGAATTTGTCTCGTAACGTCATTCGCCAGCTTGGACCCAAGACATTCCAGAACATATCGCAGAATCTTAAGAGACTTTACACGGACCAGATGGGGATTGAAAAGGTAGAAGGCTTTTTTTTCTTTCTAGAACAACTGTACTAAATTGCAATGATATGACAGTGTTGATGAATGATTTCTCCATGATACTGTTTACTGAACTACATCCATGTCTACATTTTTTACCTTCGGTTAGATATCAAAGGAGGCCCTGCTGGCACTGGGTCCAGGACTTAAAGTTCTGTCTATGAGAGGAAATCAGCTGAAGGAGCTCCCTGACCTGAGCGCGCTCTCTGGCCTCGAGATGATCGACCTGTGGGACAACCCTCTCCTGTGTGACTGTTCCTTATTGGCCCTTTGCAGGTCAGAACATGCATTTAATGTTAGTCTTGAGGTTCTGGGTTGTCCTTGAATCCATCGTAACCAATTTTCTAGGGTATACTGTTTCAACAGGACATACCCCCAAAGCAAAACTGTTTTGTGAATGAGAAAAGCAGCCTAACATTATGATACATTTGAAAAGCAGGGCCTTCTACTCATCTTTAAATGCTCCAATAACACTAAAAACACATGTAAGTACATGTAACTTCTTTTATCTTCTTTGCACAGGTGGATAGAGAGTGTGAAGTTAGAAGTTTCAGCTACATGTGCCAACCATCTTAAGCTTAGATGTCAGCAGGTGGGGGACACCAGTGCCTTCTCAACCTGTCCATGAAACACCGAGACAGTAGCGCTGAGACCCAGACCTGCAAAAATAAAATCCGTTGGAGAGAAACCAAGGCTACAGAAGACTGGAAAACATAAAAAGACCAAAAACAAGAAGACTAAGAGAGGGAATTGAGTTTTTCTTCTGGGTTGTTTGAAATTAGTCTAGAAAGTGTTATCTTATGATAGCAATAAATGTGTATTTGATGACCTGTCCTGATGGTACATAAAGACCAGGCCTATACTGGAGCTCTCTGACATGTTTAGATGACCTTTGCTGTCACATCTAAGAACAAATAATAATAATAGATACCATTAAACTTCACAAACTATGATGATAAGTTAAGGAGTTGCAGTTTTACCTCCTGCTATAGATGGCCACAGATACTATGTAATCCCTCGGATGTGTTTCTGAGTGTTGCAAGTCATCAGTAGATGAAGAATGTCTACTTCACGGTGTACCTGTATCCTGACTTGTTACCTTAATAAATAAGTTTAGTTACAAACCCAAGTTTCTTCATTAAGATTAAAAAACATTACATAAACAATCTGTATCTCTAACCTTGGTTATTTGTCAACAATGATCCTACATAGACCCACCCCTTAGTAACACCAAGCTTTAAGCAAAGGTTAATGCTCCTGTTTTATTTAATTCTGAATGTATTTAACTGCCAGTATTAGTTGTTGATAAACATATTATTTGTTATCCAGTATGGTAATATATATTTAGAGTATGCATATCATTATTCAATCAGATTAAAGACATTCCCATTCACAAACCAACTGATGGGAGTTTTATTCTAAAAGAAGCTCAGTTTTGGTTTTTTTGTTTGTTTTTTCTGATTTTTGTCTTCTTTGTATTCAGCTTTTATAGGGATCAAATGTGTTTACTTGTATTTTATACCAAGACAGCAAATGGTTTGAACTGTATTTGTGGGGGAAACAAACAAATGAACAGCTTAAATGTAAGATAAATTGGCAACAATAAAACACATGTTGAAGAAGACTGTAAGAGCATATTATTTATTTTGTTGTTATAAAACCTGTACCTTATGTTCTTGCCAATGTAGGCAGTTTTTTTAGGCACTGGAAAAAAAATTTCTGTTTACCAGAATTGCAAAATCTACTAATACATACCCAGGCAGACAATTGGATAAACCAACAAATACCACTTCACGCTCACCTGTAGTGCAAACCAAACTTTTACAATCTTTCAAGTCAAAAAGAAAGTGATGATGAAAGAAAATGAGTCTACCCATTAACAAAACAGTCAAAAAGACACCAACACCAGTTGTAAGCAAGATTATCTGCAAATCCTGCAACTATAAAGGGTTATCAGAATAGAATACTACAGCTGATACACTCGGGTCGGGGGTACGCTACCGCTTACCAGTTATCTAAACCGCTTTTTGTGCATTGCGTAGTCATGGGGTTCCATGGTGTAATGGTTAGCACTCTGGACTCTGAATCCAGCGATCCGAGTTCAAATCTCGGTGGAACCTAATTATTTTTTCTTCTCTAAAATAAGCCTTTATATATAAAGAATACATTAAATTATGTCAAATCGTTTAAATGGTATAGTCTATTCACATAACCTTACTGTGGCAACATTTTCACACCAAATACTTAATTTGGAAACATGTTAACGGAAATTGCCGCTCCTTCCGGGAGAACAATTTAAGCTAAGCTACCCTGGTTATCCAAGATGGCAGCAGCTATGGATGTTGACACACCGAGCGGTGCTAACAGTGGAGCGAGCAAGAAGCGATTTGAAGTCAAAAAGGTATCTTTGTGTGAAGTAGAGTGGTCAAATTGTATTTCGTAAATGTCGACATTATGCTGTTAGTTACAGTTTAACGCTAAACCCAGATTAAGCCCTTTTAATACAGCTAACGTTAGCTACTAAACTATTAGCATGTCCCATTGGGGATTTGCATGCGTCATACTAGCAACAAAAAGCCTCGAATCAGCTTTAAATAAAAGAGGTCAAATGTCTTTATTAGTTGTATGATACTAACTATTTTTAGTGGAAACAGATAAGCCGCCCTTGTTTTAAGACAAATTAATGCTTCCCCATATGCTACGTTAGCTTACTCAGTTAGCTTCAACAGGCGTAATTTCACAAAACCAATTAGTTGTACTCTTTATTTGTGTTTTTTATGTATGTATTTTGGTTTTGCAATGTCATCTTGGCTTATTTTCAAACGAATCAGACGGATTACTTCTTAATCCCCATCTTAATATACAGAGAACTCACTTTCATTCTAACACAATCAGCCCTGCATCGTTGTCGTCACCGTATTAAAGACAAAATACATTTTCACCTTTTAATTATGTTAAGATATTTAGGTGACAAACATAATCTGCTCCCATTTTCTTATTTCATACACTGGTCGAGCATAACATAATGACCACCTGCCTAATTCTGCTGCCAGATCAGCCCTGCCTCATTGCAGGATGGACTTTATTAGAAGGTGTGCTGTGGGATCAATCATCATGATGTTAGCATTGGATTATTTAGGCCTTGTAAAGCATCACTCTTTATGAATTTCTTACTTCATGGTTCAAGGACGTGGGGTAAACGCAAGTAGTCAGATATTGAAATACTGCGGACCAAACAACAACTTATTTAATGTATCCAAAGTCTGTTGAATTGGACTGCTCTGACTATCCCTTGTAGAGATTGACTAATCTAGGTCTTTTAAGGTTGATATGAATAATTTTGACAGCATTTTACTGATCCCTGACATATTTTGCCAATATTTTTTAGCCGATATTTGCTTTTCTTCCTCAATTTTAACTGTTATACAAGTCTCAATTTAAACAACATTTATATCGCTAATATCAGCGAAAAATATCGGTTGGTGGATGTTTTGGTCTTTCATTAACCCCTTGGATCAAACGCTCAATAGAAGACAGATGGGGAGCAAATTTGTGTTTCCTCGACACTACCGTCTATTCCTGGGAACCACTTATGACAGTTAATGACTAGGTATTTTTGGGTGATATTTGTGTTTTGTTTTTTTTTCCTATCATTATCAGCCCATTATTACATGCCTTTAGATCATGTAAGGCACATGTATTGCCACTCACTCATTTGCTATCCGTTAATGTTTTCTACGATTTGTTAATAAATGCTTCTATTTGTTATCATTGTGTCATTTTTATTTTATAAATGAAGGAAGGAAGAGAAAACAAAAATCAGCTGTACAAAGGTTATACTTATGTCAAAATAATCAGCATCGGCCTAAAGAAAAAACATCTATCAGTCGACCTTTATCGTAAACCCTTGCAGGCTAAAAATGACCTGCAAGAACTACAGAACTTATCACATTGATTTCAGAACTATATATTCACAGGCTACCTAATGTCTAATGTTTGCCCTCTACTACCAGGTATTTTGAGATATAAATCTCCATATACTTTAAGGCTATTGTTGCCCACCAGACAGCACGCTTCAGGCCATGTTGATAATTTTTCCTGTTTGTATTCCTCCCCAGTGGAATGCTGTTGCGCTGTGGGCCTGGGACATAGTGGTGGATAACTGTGCCATCTGTAGGAACCACATCATGGATCTCTGTGAGTTTTCACACTGAAATCCACATCCTACATAACCGCCCTGTTCTGTTCCGCTCCGCTCCAGACCGCCTGTGCAAAGCAAAGCATATAGCCTCGGCTTTCCCTCCCATCTGCCTCCACTCTGACTTCCACGAGGCTCAAGGAGAGCATGCACGATATTATTGTTAAATTCATAGGAGCAAAACAAGCAGAAATTAACACTTTAAAATGTAAAATGAAATATTGAAAAAAATCCCCCTCATCAAGAATATGTACAGTTTCTGCCTAAATATTTATTTATTTTTTTGTATCAGGGATAACAAGGATCATACAAAATTGGCTTGTTTTAACTATGTTTGTTCTCTACTTCCAAACTCATTATCTCTTCATCCACACCTGTGATAGGAAGTTTGTTTTGAAGTTGTGAGATGCGCTCTTGGAAGTTTTGACTGGATTTGATGAAACTTTTTAATCCTCTCAGCAAAAAAGAAATGTTTTGATTGAGATGAGAAAGCTGCCTCCGGGTATGTTAAAGTACCAATAGTTTGCATCCAATAATTTAATTAAACAGTCTTAGTTTTTGGGAATATATAAGAATTGTGCTCTAATTTGTAGTCTTCGATCTATTGTTACTATATTTTAATTTGACAAACTGTATCTTCTCGACATTATTTTTCCTGTTTGTTTCGATTGCAATTGCGTATCTTAACATGACTGGCTTTCAGCGGAGCAATAATATCTTGGCTCCGTATTTTGACGGTAAAGGATAAAGAAGACGTACGTGAGCAGAGCGGTGACAGAGGATGTGGAATCTGGGGCTTACTTGTCTGCTGTGTTACATCATAATCCTTTGCCCACTTTTTAAAGAGCAAATGATTTTGTTGTCTCTGCATGCTGTCGATTGATGATTTTTAAAACTTCTCCTTCAGGTATAGAGTGTCAGGCCAACCAGGCTTCTGCCACATCGGAAGAGTGCACCGTGGCCTGGGGCGTCTGCAATGTGAGCTTTAACTCTGACATTTTTCAAGATCTTTTTTTTTTTTTTTCTTAATCTCAAAATTTTGAGTGATTTCATTTAAAGCGGCTTAGATGTTTTTGAAATTCCTTCACTTCTTTTCTGGAAATATACGTTAATTTTAAAAAAATCTGCTCCTAAAAATGCTAAAGGTTAGAAACTATCATCATATGGGTAAACCTCAGGCAAAAAAAAATAATTATAAAATAAAACACTGTGTAGTTTGAATTTGAAATAATAATTTAATTTATCTGATAACAAAATTATCTAAGCAGAATATTCAATTTTATGAACTTTTTTATTGACATTATTTTTAATTGGCTGTTAAACATTTGAGCTCATGATTCAAACCTTTGGTTTTAGGGCTACATTAAAAAATAGAAACATAACAGACGTCTCCCAATAAGTTGCTAATATCATTTTACTTCCATTTTGTT